AAGTCAGAACTGGCGGTCAGTTTCAGCAGTGGCTGAATCTGGATGCCAGTTCCGACTTACATACAGATTCAACTTAAGAACAAACCTACAGTCCCTATCTTGTACGTAACCTGGGGACTGCCTGTAGTCGATACAAACTGTATGGACTATTGTTAGCCAAATCACATTTTAACATCCTTAATTGGTAGTGCTTTCTACCTCAAAGTCTTTACAGGGTCAGTTTCAGCAGTGGCTGAATCTGGATGCCAGTTCCGACTTACATACAGATTCAACTTAAGAACAAACCTACAGTCCCTATCTTGTACGTAACCTGGGGACTGCCTGTAGTCGATACAAACTGTATGGACTATTGTTAGCCAAATCACATTTTAACATCCTTAATTGGTAGTGCTTTCTACCTCAAAGTCTTTACAGTTCATGTCTCTACTTATCTGTGTTGGTCACATTCTTGCTTACAAAGCTCTTGCAAGCTGGAAAAAATACAGGTTATGTCTACAGCTGCCAGTCTTAGGGTACATCTAGACTACAGGCTTTTGTTGACAGAAGTTTTGTTGACGGATTCTGTCGTCAAAGCATCTGTTGACAAAGAGCGACTAGACTACATCCAGTTCTGTCGACAAAGAAAGCCACTTTGTCATCATGACAGTGTAGATGCAAAGGACAGTGTAGATACAATAATGCCTTCTGTTGACAGAACTCTGTAAACAGAAGGCATTATTCCTCGTAGAATGAGGTTTATAGCTATCGACAAAACTGCTTAGTTCTGTCGACATAATGTTGACAGAACTCAGTGGCAATGTAGACGAAGGTATAGTTTTGTCAACAGAAGTCCACTTTTGTTGACAAAACCCTGTAGTCTAGACATACCCTTAGATCTCAGGTTTGCAGACAGAGGCTTTTGGTATAATGTTACAATTAGCCATGTAGCTTCTTAGGTTATGGTGCTCAGGGATGGGGTGGGCTTCAGAGCCTAAGCTCTAGTCTGTAGACCCAGGATATGAAACTTGTGTTGGTGGAGTCTTGAGTTTTTTCTCCCTGTGCAATGTGCATAGTGATATTCTTTCTTATTCAGAATCAGTTATTCAAGTGTGGGGTTTTTTTTTTGGTTTGAGTCAAAGTAAAACTTTACGTTATTTAGCTGTTGTCTTCCCAAAACCTCAGATTCTAGCCAATATCTTCAGAGGGGCTCTGTGCAGGCTTTATTTAGGAACTGCGACTTATGCCTTGCTGTGAAGCAGTAGCTAAGTGTATAGTTGTCCCCATAATGTAATGTCCTAGTAGCACAGTGTAGAAAGTGATCTTTATGATTCTAACTCATCTTAACTAGAAGAGATGTTTTTAAAATGTTGTAGCTCAGAATTTGTAGAAGCAGTATCATGGACAAACAGGCTTTTAAAAACAGAATGGCTATTCTCCAAACTGTTTGCTTTGTGATCTTCTACTCTAGTATATGCAACTGTTGTGGGTGTCCCTTGAATCTGTATTCTGGAAGTAAAAAGCCATTCCAACATCTGCTTGGCTCCTTTAACTTCAGAGACTTTAGCTGAAAACTGAGGGTATGTCTAGACTACATGCCTCTGTCGCCAGAGGCATGTAGATTAGGCTACCTGACACAGTAAAATGAAGCGGCGATTTAAATAATCGCCGCTTCATTTAAATTTACATGGCTGCCGCGCTGAGCCGACAAACAGCTGATCAGCTGTTTGTC